AAAAAAGAGAGTTGGAGGCAGAGAATGGCCAGCCACAACCCACCATTACACTCTGATTCCAGCYGGGCCTGAGTCAGCCCTGATACTCAGCTCTTCAGTTCCATGAGCCAAGACTGATTTTCTAACACTTGTGACTGAATACATGCTAACCTAGAAAACTCTCCTTACAAAATCGTTGGAATGTTCTCCACTGGTTTCAAGTTCTTCATTGGTGTAAAGAGAATTATAATACCTCTTTGGGTCAGTAGAAGGACCCTGTCTCAGCCATCACTCCCACCTCTTCTGCCTGGTGGACTAGAACAGATGTCTTATGTGGGACGAGAGCTGAAGCCCCATATGGAGATGCAGGAATAACTGCTAAGCCTGGGGTTGGCAAGGTATAGGTTACTATCCTTGAARTTGTGATGCAGTTTTTAAAGAACTTTCTGTTACTATAGTCGGTAAGGGGCCATTATCATACATTCCCACCTGAATCGTGCCAGAATGAATAGACTTAGACCGTTAACTTGGGCAAGCTGAAACGAGAAGTCAATTTCACAAGCACAGGAGAACTGTGCAGCCTACCCTTCTATGAGGACAGATGACTGACCACCCAGGAGCCCACTTGGAGGTGGACGAGTTGCGGTTCTCACAGCTGCCGACTGCGACCCATTCATATGCACTCAGGCGTATTTCCTCTCTGCTCCCCATGTCCTTCCTCCTGTGTAACATTTATCACTGCAGCTATTCCACTGTCCTCTGTTGTCCTGGCCAACTCACTGCTGAGAGGTTGGCTGGCTCACAGGTGTGTCATTTGGGCATGGTCACAGGGCTGCTGTCCCACTGACATTGACCAGATGTGATGGCCATGAGCAGCAGTCTCACAGTCCTAATGGCTCACGTATCAGGGTCCGGCTGCTCTCGAGTCTCACAGTGAACCAGGGCTGGAGTCTCTTTGTGAGGCTTTGTCTCTGCTGCCTTCACATCCCAGAAGCTCTAGGCTGACTTCCAGGACTCATGCATCGACAGTGAGTTCCAGAAGCCCCACCACATATTTAATTGAAGTGTAATTGTTTCGGCCCCTTACCGAGGAGGAACAGGTGGAAACTCCTTTCTTTGAATGGAATCGACTGTTGCCAGGAACTGCCTTTGTGCCGTGGCCATGGGGAAAGCAGGAGCCCAGGGCAGTGTGGAGGGTTCCTGTGGAGGGAGCTGAGCGGGAGGCTTCCTTCATGGCCTGTCAAGCTTCAGGGGACACGTTCCCAAACATGCTGGCAGGCTGTGYCATCAGGACCCACACGGGGGTGGGGCATACACCCCCCATAGGTGCAGGTGCCCACAGTGCACATCCTTGAGTGTCAAGGCAGTGTGGCTTGGTGCTAGATGGTCCTCATTCTGCTGGTGTCCTTAGGCCTTTGAGGACATCCTGTGGGTGGGTGATCTGGGGTGGGTTGCACTTTGAACGGTTCTGGCTCCACTCCTTTTCCTGTGCCTTTAGTGAAAACAGTCATTGTACAAATAGGTCATTGCTTTTGAAGTGACCTTAGGGTGGGGCCGTGCCATGGCCAAGTGAGCCGGTGTGTACGCCACTGCTCTGGAGCTGCGTCCCATCCCAGCAAACCTTTGGCTCTTCTGCTCATAGTGAGTTTCTTAAAGCTCCCTGGAGTGTGAGAGCCAGGCTGCTTCGGCTCCTTTGTTCTGTTTGGTCAGCAGTGAAACTTGTGGCCCCAGAGGATTCTKCCCAGATCCCCAAAGGCCAAGTGATGAGCAAGTGTTTTGAAATCCTGAGGCGGGAGCTGGAATTAAATCTGTAAGGACCATCTTTCTCATCCCTAAGGAAGCAGCACATCAACTTCCTGGAACTCATATTTTCTGTTGGTTCTCTTTGTTTAAATAATTCAAGAAAGTGCAGCTTGTTTAAGCAGCAGGTTCCCATGTCCTCTTTTGCTCAAATTAAGTCTCAGGCAGAAGCTTCCCACATAAAACAAGTCCTGCTGTCTGAGCCAAAGGAGAATCTCCTTTATATCAACCAGGAAGCACCGGCATGAAGGGACTAAGTAGTTTGCTCAAATTTAGGCCATTGGAACCCAGAGCCTCCACAAAATAGGAGATCACCATAAATAATTGTCCCACAACTCCATCTAGATAAGGTACCATAACATACCCACATATTCACAATGCATATGGAAGCCTCCAGAAACCCGGCATCAAAATCAACCTGTTATCGAGTCCTTTGCCTTTGGAATTGGGCCACAAGTTATTCTTTTGAAAATAGACTACCATGATAGAAGTGGACATTTTCATCTTCATGAGCTTGCTGAATGATCAGCAGATCACAATGCCACTCTGGATTGTGGGACCCAGCTGCTCTGGCTGATGGATTCATTAGCTCACATGCCTCCTGCCTTCTGCACGTGAGATCTTCTCCAGGTACTTGGATCAGGAYACACCCTGCTCTCAAGACACCCAGTGTCCATAAATCCATCTGTTGTAAGAGGACACTTTACATTGCACCTGTCCCCATTCAGTCCTAAAGCTGTCCACACATGATGCTTGGGAAGGAGAAAGAGTGGGCACGGAGGCTGTCCTCGTGGCAGATGGAACCAGTAGCTGCAGTTCACAGATGGCCGTCTTCCTCCAGGGTTTCCTTTCTTCTTAATCTCTGCAACTTCCTTATGAAGATGTCACTGGTTCCTAGAAATGAACTTGGCCTTGGCTTTTCATTCCACGGATTTATAGACCTTTCAAACTTTGGAGAAATTCAATCTAATTTCTGGATCAACTTGGCATCAGGCAAACAAAGCATGGTGTTGGGAACTGAGAAGAAAATGTAGAAAGTAGACGTAACATAGTCTTCAGGCCACKCGGAAGGCAGATCTCTTTGTCACTTCTACAGCTGGCATCAGGGTGGCAATCTAGGAATACCAAATATTTGCAAGATGGTGCCCTACTGACCCTTTCCTCCTTTCCTGCTAACACCCTCCATTTCTTTGGCCCAGGGCCCTGTCTCCTGCCTCCTTCCTAGATGGAGAGATGGTATGTGAACTTCCTCAGTTAATATGTGATGAGCAGGTGAAAGAGAAAGAAGGAAGTGGAGATGTCTTGCAGAAGCCAGTGCCCTCCATAAGCCCAGTTGATAGGACTGAGTGGCCCGGGGCCCTGTGGGGAGATGTCTCCTGGATTTCTGCCATGCTGCTGCATAGGGCCAGCAGCAATAAAGTCCACTTATTTTTATAACCTTGCATTAAATTAAATGTGTTATTTTATACAAGCACTTACAAAGTCTACTAAATATCTGCTGACAGCTCCCTTATTCCCTGACACGGTGACAAGTCTAGCCAGAACACAACAGATCTCCATGTTGATTGATTATTTCTGTGGCAGGGCTGGTTGGCTTAGCTGCTAAGTGTCACTGAATTTTAACTGCCCCTCTTGTCCATCTCTTCAGAGGAAGTCCAGGGTGACAGCCCGTGGTACCTACAGGCTCACCTCTATCTTTTACAAGCACCACTAAAGGGGATCCTAGATGTGATGTCCCCTGGAACCTCACAGGGGAAGAGTCCTTCACTGAGCAACAGTTATTCCTGAGAACTTGTGCCAGTTGAGAGGAGGGCCGTCTCTAGAGGACGCCCCAGCTCCCACAGAGTCCTTCATTTACCCACTAGCCTTTGCTCAGCAGGTTGGGCTTTACTTAGAGAGCAATCGCCTTTGAGGAGAGAACAGAAGTTTGATGAGACAGGTTGCCAAGGACAGAGAAGCCACTGAATTAGAGTCTGCTTGGTCATTTCTTAGAGCAAGAATCCATGGCTCTGGTCATTCCTGCCATTGTTTTAGACTAGCAGTCTCAGAGAGGATTGATGGGGCATCTGAGAATTCAGAATCCTAGTGTCTGATGGGGGATGAGGTTTGTGAGTGAGCTCACCCTGGTTCTGACTGTGGGGCCCTCTGCCCACCTCCCAAGCCTACTCATTCTGCTGCCTATTCTCCACCCACTTGTCGGCTCAGAGGTTCCCTCTCTTCTGGATGGTATCTGCTCTGGGTGGTATTGGTGGAAAGAGACACAGACTTTCCCTGTTAAGTGAGTAATGAGAAATGGATGTCTTATATTACAGAGAATATGAAAATATATAACATTTTTAAAAAGGAAATTGAATTGCCTACAACCCCACCTTCCAAGGGCACACACCATTCATCAACTTGCAGAATATTTTATACTATCTTGTTTTGAGAGCTAAAGATAGTAGACAAATAGAGATTTATTTAATTTGTAAAAACCTGAGTGTTTGTATCATTTTTAATGAAATTGTGATCATGTGTTACATGGTTTTGTAATCCTGAATTTTTCCCCACTTCATATTGTGAGAATTTTTCATTATCTAAAATGGTTTTCCAACATGAGTTTCAATGTCTATATAACATAAAACAAAACATATAACAAAATATGTTTATAAAGTTCCRTATTCCATATACAGATATACATATGTATATCTGTATATGAAATCCATATATTATTACTAATGTTGTAGTGAGCAGCTTTACACAGGAATCTTTTGCCACACCACTGGCTACCTTTTAGTTAATATTCTTAGATAGAAGAGCTGAGTCAAAGAGAATAAATAAACTTCAATGCTCTTGATATCCAGAGTTGAATTATTTTCACAAAGTTTGTACTGAGTTCCAAGACCAATGGTTGARCATTGAATGTGTCCATCTCATTTAACTCTCACCAGCCATAAGCATTGCTATTTTAAAATACTGTTGTCCAYTCAAAATGAAAAATGTACATCTTGTTACTTTAATTTGCCTGTAGTTTCTAATGCTCATCTTTGTAGGTGGCTTGGCTGTTGGTATTTCTTGGTATGTGAGTGTGAATTGTCTACACATTGAACTTTGAACCTGGCCTCTACAGGGTCAGCCCGTCACTTCCAAAGATTGAGAGACACCAGGATAAACATCTGTGACTGGCAGCTACCTCTCATGACCACTCAGAATGGTGGCTGGATATTCCTATGACTGAATACCTCTGCAGGCTTGGAGGTTGAGGGTGGTGGCCTCAATGCCCCATATGGCTTCAGCTGCTTGAGCCAGGAAATGCATCCCACCTGCAGAAGCACTGGGCCCTTCGAAGTGGGCTGGAGACTGCCCAGAGGAAGCTGGGCCAGCTGGACTGCACTCTGGGGAGATGTGATGAGTCCCTCCTCATTGTGCAGGCTCAGGTGCCTCTTCCCAGCCACCCTCCACTCTCAGACACACTCCTATTCCTTCACACCATTACCTCACTAGTGGCACACTCCCCTCCTGCAGGCTGGGAAGTCACCTTCACATTGCCTGCCCAGGTCCCTGGCATGCAAGAGTTGCCTCCTATCATGATGAAACTATCCAACTATGTCTTCCCATCTTTGTGACCTTGATGTGACCTGAAGCTAAACAGAGTGGTTTTCTCACTCAGATTCAGATGTCCCTAACTTAGGAACATGGTTGTGATTTAATTGCTCACTGAGAAATGCTGAAGACCAGCTCAGGGTGCCTCTCCTCAGTGCCAGGGCTGAGTGACCACCAGGGCTGAGTGACCACCAGGGCTGAGTGACCACCAGGGCTGAGTGACCACCAGGGCTGGTTCTCCTATCTAGAGTCTTTTCCATCTTCCTTTGCTTCCATGGGGCCCCCAGCGAGTGCCTTGATTCACCACGAAGTCAGGCATAAACCATGTGCACCACGTTAGCCACACACACTCAGGTTTGCAGCACGGCACCTTCTTCATCTGAGTTTCTGCCGGTGTCTGTGAACCTTGCTCGTTGCTGATTGGGCACAGCCCTTGCCCCCACAAACCAAGGCAATTCCGAGTGTCTCTCTCAGCTCTAGCTGCTCCTGCTCCTCCCCAGATCCCAGTTGAGATCAGCCCCTGGGGTGCTRTGGGTGAGGAAGGCCTGTCCTTGGTCTTCCTCTGCTATGCTGTGCCTGCAGGATAGAGAGGCCTCTTTTCTTCATGGCACCCAGCCCTCCCTGGAGCCCGGATGGAGGCTGCTCCCTGCTCTGCTTTCTGCAGCTCTTTGGGACCACAGCGTGGTTGTTCACCATTGAAGCCTCAGCTTCCTTGTCTCTGCTGAACCTCGTGGAAGGTTGGGCTTTGTCTCCAGGGTTCTCTGGGCCCACAGAGACTCAGGTTTCCTGGCTGAGGACATTTCTGGTCCTGGCAGTCCCCTCCTCCTGTGACCTCTCTCTCCAGGCTGCCTGGGTGGCTGAGGCACGGGCATGACAGTGAGGCTGTGCTGCTACTTTCCTGACTCCAGAGGGGACAGAGAGCCTCTCCAGTGTACCTGGGACTCCATTAGCCTGGGGGACCGGCCTCACAGCATAACCCCACTCTCTCTTGTCCCTCTCCAGGTCAGAAGAGATCAGGAAATATCAGAACTTTCTAAGACAGCATTTTCCTAACTCATAACCCACTAACAGCTGGACCCAAGATTCTTTGAACCCAAAACCAACAGTTTGACCCATTTCCTCTTCAGGTAACTTCCTGATAGTGYCCCTAGGTGGGGATGATTCCCTAAAGGGGTGGCACCTCCCATGCAGGCCCTGGCTGGGGGTGGTCCCAGATAGAACTGGGGACTGATGACCAATGCCACATAGCCACACTGCAACCTTTACCTCAGGAGGCAGCACAGGGTGTTAGGGACAAACTCTAGCTATAAGGTGTAGATGGAATCATATTACAAGATTTCAAGAGTATTTAGTCAGGCAACACAAAGAGCTTAGAGTGCCAGGTATACAGCAAGCGCAACCTAAGGGCTTGACAGATACATGATCCTGTGGCAAAAGCCATCCTTTATTATTCTGTATTTTCAACTGAAACTTTGAAACCATCATCTTACAGCTGCCTTTTACTAAAGACTCCAAACTGTAGTTTAAAATAACTTTTACCCAGAATTGACTTAGAAGACTGCCTAGCAATGGCGCATCAACTTTAAGGAATCCAATGGACCAAATGCATTGATTTCTACTTTTCACTCCAGTCAAGTAACCAGGAATTTTGAGGAGGACACACATTTTCTGAGAAATCTTCAAATCCTCCCAAGCACATGTCGTGCATATGGGAAGCAATTGAGATGTCTGTACCTTGTCAAGGGCTTTCTCTTAGTAATAACCTCAGCTCCCAAACTGTCCTGAGCTGGCTCAGGGCATCCTGGAAGGGCCTCAGGACATCCTCAGGAACCTCAGAGGCTGATGGGGAGGAAAGTTTGGTTTTGAGGCAGCTCTCAGGGCTTTAAGAGAAAGTTCAAACATTTAAAGAGTTGGATTCCTTTTGTCTGTTTATCATCTTGAAGAACTGGTTAGAGAAGGAACCTGAAAGTTTGCTGAAAGAAATGGTCTTCCTTCCTTCCTTCCTTCCTTCCTTCCTTCCTTCCTTCCTTCCTTCCTTCCTTCCTTCCTTCCTTCCTTCCTT